TCAGCCATGTGGAATCTGGCTTCCTCAACAAGACCAGCCCCAATCATCTTCTGAGGACCAGTACCACAGCCCCCACTGTCTTAGTCAGCTCTGGCTATAACAAAAAGCCATGGACTGGTGGGTTAAACAACATTCATTCATTTCTCACAGTTTTGGAAGCCGAAGTCCAAGATCATCAGTTGCCAGCATGGTGAATTTCTGGTGATGGCTCTCTTCCTGGCTTGCAGATGGCTGGCTTCTGGCTCTGTATTCACAGCGGAGAGAAAGAGAAAGGAAGCTCATAAAGGCACTAATCCTATCAGACTTGGACACTCCCCCACCCCCACCCCCACTCCCCTCATCCAACCCCATTACCTCCCCATCTCCAAATACTATCACATTTGTTGGCAGAGTTTCAACTAGGCACTGGCGTGGACACGAGCATTCAGTTCACAGCACCCCACAGCACCCCCTATTGTCAGGGGCTTCTGTCTCTGGAAAGTTCACATCTAATTCAGGGTAAGGAACTTCTCTGGGAAAAGCATTTTGAATACCTATTTCTATCACTCACTGAATCCCTTTTAACTGTCTTCCCTTCTTAAACTTTTAAATAGCTACAATTGCCATACAATAGTTATCTGGCTTTAATTTTTCTTTTTTGGAAGGAACCTCATTTTAGCTGAGCAACTGCAAACAATAGCTTGATTATACTTCTAAATTCTTTTAACACAAGCAATTGCCTCTCTTCCAAAGCACACTCTGATATTTTCTGAATACTGTACTACTTCTCTCCCTTAGCAATTTTGCCTGGATCTCACCCACTGAAGATACCAGCTGTAAATATTTGGCATTCCTTGTTCCTCTGGTCAGTCACATAGTTTAACCTTCTCAGCTCTGCATCTCAGCTTTAAGCCTCGAGAATAGAGAGGAAAGTTCAGGATACATCTCAGGCCCTGAAGATCTGCATTTTTATAAACAGCCTCTCCTAAGGGGTGCAGGGTATGAGAGTTGCCACAGTTTAGGTTTCTAAGAAAGTTTTTTTAAAAAATTGTGGTAAAACATGTATAACATAAAATTAAACCATTTTAATCATTTTAAGTGTACAATTCATTTATATTAAATACATTCATGATGTTGTGTAATAGTCACCAGAATCTCTAGAATTTTTCTTTATCATAAACTGAAACTCTATAACCATTAAAAACAGTAACCTCCCTTCTCTATCTTCCAGCCCTTGGTAATCACCATCCTACTTTTTTTTTTCTTTCTTTTTTTGGAGAGGTTTTTGCTATAGGGCATGTGTGCTCACCAGACAGACAGAGAGAGACAGAGAGACAGAAAGTGAGAAATCACCCCCCAGGGGGGATGGCCACGCCATAATCCCTTCTCCTCTGTTCTCCTCTCGGGATCTTGGGCACGCGCACACACACACGCCCTGCGTGAGTTTAAGCCACTGGGTCTGGGACTCGAACCGCGGTTGACTACGTGGGAGTCCAGCGACATAGCCATTACGCTAACTGCTGGTCCCAACCACCATCCTACTTTTCATCTCAATGGATTAGCCTGTTGTAGGTACTTCAGTGGAATCACGTGATATTTGCCCTTTCATGTCTGGCTTACTTCAATTAGCATAATGTCTTTGTCTTAGTTTGTTAAAGTTGCTGTAACAAAATATCATAAAGTAGATGGCTGATGAATCACAGAACTTTATTTCTCATGGTCCTGGGGGCTGGGAAGTCCAAAATCAAGGTGCCCGAAGATTTGGTGTCCGGTAAGGGCTGGTTTTCTGGTTCCTAGATGGTGCCTTCTCACCGTATCCTTACATGGTGGGAGGGACAAGCCAGCTCTCCACAGCCTCTTTTAAAGGCACTAGACCCATCATGAGGGCTCCACCCCAGGAACGAATCACCTCCCAAAGGCCTGACCTCCTAATACCATCACATTGGTGATTAAGACCACAGTGGTCTTCAAGGTTCACCCCTATTGAGCATGTATTGGAATTCCATTCCTTTCGTGGTTGAATAGCATTTCACTGTGTGTGTGTATCTAACAAGTTTATCCACTCATCTGTTCATGGACACTTGAGCTGTTTCTGTCTTTTGGCTATTGTCAAATTATATTTAACATAAATGGGATCTGGCTTTTTGGTGACCTAATGCCAATTTAATAACTGGATTTTGATTTACTTTATTTCATTCTCTGGAAACATAACACCAAACAGCAACTTAGGCATTAGGGCTCTGCAGGCAAGTTGGGGCTGGAAAGCATGAAGGATGGGGAGCCGTGGTCATTACGGACCTTTGCAGAGCTATGCTTAAGGGACACCTGGTCAGAGATGGGTGGTGGGGCTGCATGATATGGGGTTTCTGAGTCTATAGTAAAAGATCCCTTTCACTTAAACCCATTCATTTACTCACTCGGTCATTCCCATATCATTGGCCATTCACTAAAAATCAGATGATAACCTGGCTGTGAATAAAATGGGCCTGTCCATCTGAACTTGTAGCCACTGGACTCAGACAGATGAGTCGACACTGACAATGCCTAAGGGTAGGAGTTTCAGGAGGAGATGCCTGGTGTACTCTTGGGAACAGAGATCTGAGGTGAGACCTTGCGAGCTCAGAAAGACCACCTGGAGGAAGCCAGACTAGTGCCAAGTTCTGCAGGAGGGGAATAAGGAAGGCGGGAGAAGGAAGAGGGCAGGGCAAGTGAAGCAGGCCTAGGGAGGGGTATCGAAGGCTGGAGCTGAAAGGGAAGACCTGCACTGACTTTGAGGCCGTGATATGTGCTCTGCGTCAGGGTGCAGAGATCTATGAGAAGCAGGGAAGGTGAAGACACAGTGGCAGGCCAAGACCATTTGGTAAAGGACTGCGTGTGGTGTTTGGGCTTAATTCTGGGACCAAAGCAAAGTCCAATGGCTTCGAAGTAAGAGAGACAGATCACAAGAAAGCAGGACTTGTCCTTTCCTTGAAGGAGTCCTCAGTAGTAAGTCATGGTAACTGCCAATATTTATTGAGCCCTTCCTTCCTTTAAGTTTAATTAATTTATTTCATGAGAAAGGAGATAGATAGAGAGAGAGACCTCCTAAAGGGTCCCTACACTGTGAACCACCCCCAGTTCTAGCCAGCCAGAGCCAGAGACACACATGCATGCACCCAGCACACTCAGGGAAGCCCTGGGATTCTAACCAGGACCCTTCCCATGTGGGTCCAGCTGCGTTACTGCTGCACCACTCCCTGACCCTACTGAGCTCTGAGTGCTGGGAGCTACTTCAGTGCTTTATGCTTATTATCTCAGTTAACCTCACAACTGCTGACCAAGGTGAATGAGGAGGAAACTGAAGCCTGGACAGAAACAACCCAAGATCTCTAAGTGTGGGTGGAGGAATGTGGGTCCAAGCTAGAAACATCAGCCCTGCCAGTCACAATGTGGCCCACGGACCAGACACAACTGCAACACATGGGAACTCATTAGAAATGCAGAGTCTAGGGCCAGCAGGTGGCATGGTGGTTAAGGTGCTAGACTCCTACATGGTTCGAATCCCAGGCTTGGTGACTTGAAAATCATGCTACACATGTGCGTGTGTATGTGTATGTGTGTCTGTGTGTGTGCGCATGTGTCTGAAATCCCAAGAGGAGAGTGGAGAAGAAATTGCCACTTGGCCATCCTCAGCTCATCCCCTCTGGGGGTGATTTCTCATTGCTCTTTCTGTGTCTGTCTCTCTCTCTCTCTTTCTCTCTCTCTCTCTAGCAAGCACACACACCCTATGGCAAAAACCTGAATGGAAGAAAAGAAAGAGAGAGAGAGAGAGAAAGAGAGAGAGAGAAAGAAAGAAAGAAAGAAAGAAAGAAAGAAAGAAAGAAAGAAAGAAAGAAAGAAGAAAGAAAGAGAAAAGAAAAGAAAAGAAAAGAAAAGAAAAGAAAAGAAAAGAAAAGAAAAGAAAAGAAAAGAAAAGAAAAGAAAAGAAAAGAAAAGAAAAGAAAAGAAAAGAAAAGAAAAGAAAAGAAAAGAAAAGAAAAGAAAAGAAAAGAAAAGAAAAGAAAAGAAAAGAAAAGAAGAAAAGAAAAAAGAAAAGAAAAGAAAAGAAAAGAAGTACAGAATCCCCACTTACCCCAGGCCTTGTTGAACTGAAAAGGATAACTGAAAAGTCAAAGTTAAAAAGAAAGAATTTATTGGTTATACAAAGCTAATCTCAAATAAGGTTCAGTCCCTGGGACATGCGGTCAGACCACCTGAGCAGGGCTAGATAGAAATGACAGCATATCTGCCCACCCCGACGACCTTGAAACTAGTAGAAGGGCTGTAAGTTGTTTGGAAAGGGTTTCCACTGGACAAAGTTAACAGAGGAGCGTCTTCTGGAGATGAGGAAAGGGACAGAAGGGAGTGAAAGGTCACTGGAAGCAGCTGTCTGGAGCAGTGCATTGGCCATGATGCTGTCCGCTCAGCGGTGATGAGCCAGTGGAGACTGCAAACCCGGAATCATCTTGAGAAAGAACGTCTGTGACAGCTACATGGCCAATAGGCGTAACCATAATCCGTAAGGGGGTCGGCCTTCCGCACTTCCTGTTACTTCTCTGGCCCATATTTATTTACATATGTATGTATTTAGTATAGTAACCTCTTTTCTAGATCAACTTTATCTTCACACCTTATGAACCAGAATCTGCATTTTAACAAGATCTCCACGTGACTCCAGTACACTGACATTTCAGTAGCATAGACAGTGACTCCCAAGATTGGCTCAAGTTAGAATCACCTGGGGAGTTTAGAAAATCCACCGTGTTTGGGTTTGAAAATCCTCTGTGCCTTGACCCATTACATCCAATTTCAGGGCCGGAACCCAGACAGGATTTTTCCCCAGTTTTCATCAGCTAGGGCCTTGCGTTATGCTTCCCCGTTGCTGGGAGAGCAGGCCAACTCCTGCAGGGAGGGCTGGGTTTGCAGACCTTCCAGTTGACAGCAGCTCTGCAGCTTTAAGAACTGGGGCTGGCTGCCGGTCAGGTGACCGCCTCTGTGCTGGCCCCGTGAGCTCAAGCTGCAGAGTGAGCTGACTGTCCATGCAAGCCTAGCCCAGGCTTGTGAGAGCGAGAACCCCAGTGGTGCAGGCCAACCAGAGAAAGGGGAGCTTTATGCCGTCTTGAGGGAAACAGTCTGCAAGGCCACGGAAACAAAGGGAGGAGCTGTTTGTAGCCCTAGACCAGACGTCTCAAACAAACAGTAAGTCAGGAGCAGGGACATAGCACAGCCCGCTCCCTGTGCCCCAAGTGACACACCTCGTCCCACTCAGGGAATCCAAGAGCCTGCCAAGAGCCGCCCCCTGGGGCTGGCAACAAGACCAATAGAAAGACAGAAAATTTCCCCACATTCTCCACTGGGGCTGGGCTGTTCTCTTTGAAAAGTTGGGGCTTGGGACCAGCAGTTAGCGTAATGGCTATGTCGCTGGACTCCCACGTTGTCGACCATGGTTTGCGTCTCGGACCAGGTGGCTTGAAATTCACACCGGGCGCGTGTGTGTGCGTGCCCAAGATCCTGAGAGGAGAATGGAGAAGGGATTGCGGCGTGGCCATCCCCCCTGGGGGTTGATTTCTCGCTTTCTGTCTCTCTGTCTCTCTCTGTCTGTCTGACTAGCACATGCGCCCTATAGCAAAAACCTCTCCAAAAGAAAAGAAAAGTTGGGGCTCAGCTCATGACAGGAAGCACCTGGTGACTGGCATGATCCCTGGAGCGTTTCTCCTCCTCTGTCCTTCCCACAAGAGCCTTTAGGTTCATGTCACTGAGCTTGAGAACCCCAAGGTCAGATGAAAAGCAAGAAAGTGAAACTGAAACCTTTCAGAAGTACAGGACGGCCTCCTGGCCACAGACCTGCTGAGAACGAGATGGTGACGCTGATGTCTACGTCTGAGGGTGGCCATTGGGAGGAAGGGACTCCAGGCCCGGGCAGTCGCCAGCCAGGGTTCGAGAAATGAAGGGTGAAGGTGAGGCAGCCTCCAGGCCCTCTCACCTATGTTGAGTAGAGACAGAGCTCTGTACCTCTCTACCCCCCAAGGCTTTTGTCAACCCAGGGCAGCTTGTCACAGTATCCATTTGAGACCAACACCACATGGCACAGGCAACTGTCATGGTGCGCTTGTGACCCGAGCACCACCCGATGCTCAAGGCAGAGCCACGAGCCTTCTGAGGGCCTGCCTCCTCTCTAGAACTGTCCATGTCTCCCTGCCCCACTCCCTTATGTTGGACGGTGGAGAGCAGACTGTCGGCCACCTTACTTCACTAGAACTCATGTAAAAGCGACCCGAGTGCTGGGGAAGGGCGGTAGGTTGGGATTAGGTTGGCAGGAAGAAGAATGTTGACATTGATTGGTACCCGGGAGGGAAGCTGCTTTGTGTCTTTAGAGGAACTGGGTATAAGATAAAAGGAAGGTAAGAGACGGAGCCACCAGGTAGTGTGGTGGTTAATACACTGGATTCCTCATAGCCAGCAGCGGTTCGAGCCCTGGTGTGATAAATCACACCAGGAGAGGAGAATAGAGGAGAAGGCATTGTGGGATGGCCATCCCCCCTGGGGAGTGATTTCTTGCTTTCTCTCTTTCTGTCTCTCTCTGTCAATAGGGCAAAAACCTAAAAAAAAGAAGAAGGGAGGGGTGACCAAGAGAAGGAAACAGAGAGAAAGCTGGCCTTACTGGAGGTGTCGCCTGAAGTTGAGGCAGAAGGAAGGGTAAGGCTGTTTGGGGTGAGGCAGGGAGGGCAGCATAGGGTTTCCCGAAAGAAAGAAAGCTAAACCGTGGCTTGTACACTGTTACGGAAGTATCTGAAAGAATCAGAAGTCACTTGTGGCTGCAGGGCTGGACTCCAGGAGGTCAGCTGGTGGGCCCTGACCTGTTTTAGTCATAAATGTGAGCACTCTCGGAGAACTGGGCGATTTCTCAGGTTAATCTGTAAGGTGTGGAAACCGGGTTCATGTTTCAGCAGAGCAGCTGAAGGCAGAGCGGCTCTCTCGGCAGAGTCCCCAGCTCACTGTACTGGGAGACTTTGCACTCCTGACACACTCCCATCTTCTGTACCTGCCCGATTCCCACGGGCGTTGCAGATTACTCTACTCCTGGTTTCTATAACGCGATTGTCTCCTATTGAGAGCCTCTGCGTAAGTGTGCGTGTGTGTGCACACACGTATGCACCAGGCACACAGGTATACACTGCCAATTCATTTTGGTTAATATTGCCCTTTTTCAGTGAAGAGTGACAGATACACAAAACTAAATGTACTCCTCTCCTTGACAGATTTCTCAGCCTTTCCAGGCAATCTGCCAAGTTTCTAGATGGTATTTGTGTTAAAAACAACAACAAATACAGTGTATTTAGTTATTGGTTTTGAGGATTTCCCAGCCTGCCTTAAGGCAACATTTCACGTATGCCACACTTTGTAGCTGTCGAAGCATTTCTTAAACATACATGAATTCATTTTTTCCTTCCAGAATTCTGTGAGGGCGGTAGGTTGGGTCTTCTTAGCCGTGCTCTCTTGGGGGAAATGGGCTTGGAGAGAGTGTAAAGGGCTTGCTTTGGTCTTCTGGGAATTCTGAGGGTAACATCAGGCACAGCTCTCTGGAGACTAAGCCATGTCTGGTTGTTTTGACTGCATGGAATTGCACAATGTGCTAAGAGGTAGCAGGAGTGGTGGGTTGCCACTACACAATGGGAAGGCCCCAGGTTCAGATTCTGGGTCTACCTGAGCTTGTGATCCCGGCTAGTTGGAAAACTGGGAGCAGGGGTGGGGGTATGCAGCATGGCAAGGTCCTGTTAGGAGTGGTCTCACTCTCTCTCTCTCGCTCTCTCTCTCTCATTCTCTCTCTCTGTCTTGAAATAAATAACAAAACAAAACCAACACCAACCAAAAAAAAAAAAAAAAACGCTTTGCTTTGAAAGGCACAATAATTAATAGTGTAGTGTCAATCCATAATACTTGGGTTTGGTTGCTGGTTGGGTCACCCAATACCTATGAGTCTTTAGGCAAAGACCGAATCCCCCTGCGTCCCCTCTCTGTAAAATGGGGTTAATCGCCCTCATCTAGGTGTGGCACGGTGCAGATGAATGTGCAGGTAATGTGGTTATCTCCTGTAGACTGGTCAGACTGATTGGTACATGTCAAGTGTTTAGGACAATGCCTGGCACATAGTAAACCTTCAATATGTATTACTATCGGTACTAAATTGGCTGCTATCTATACCTTTGGAAAACATTCTGTACTAGAGTACAGGGGAAGGCATTGTGGTGTGGCCATCCCCCCTGGGGAGTGATTTTTCACTTTCTTTCTCTCTGTCTCTCTCCAGCAGAGAGTTGTAACAAAAACATCTCAAAATACATTTATTTGCTGAAAAAGGATAGAGGTTATTTCTCTTTCACCTAATAGCTAAGAGTCCAAGATACGTAGATTACTCTGCTCCATAAGGTCATTCAGGAATCAAGGTTTATTTCCATCTCATTGCTTCCTCCCCTGTATAGTCAATGCTAGCTCACCTCCTCCTTCTCTTCCTCCCTGTAGAAGAAAAGGAGGTGGAGGGCAAACAGTATCCTTCTGGCCAGAACTTGGGCACACTTCTCTGCAAGAGAGGCTGGGAAATGTAGTCTCTAGCAGGAACAACTCAATATGCCCAATAAACCTTAGGAGTTCTCTTACTGAAAGGAAGAAAGGAAGGATGGAAATTGGGCACAGGCAATGGTCTCTGTTCCATGCTGCCACAGACATGTGCTTTGGACCTGAATTTGAAGTCGTTAATGTCTACTCAGCCTGCCAGTTTCTCAGCCCACCTGTGCTCCACTTCTTATCTACTGGATGCCTGCTTCACCTCGGATTTTCTTCTTTAGTAAAATTTAGGGACAGTTCTTAGATCCGTGTTTCAAATACCTCTGCAAGTAATGCGGTTATCTCCTGTAGACTGGTCAGACTGATTGTCCACAGGTTGAGAAGCCTCTTTCTTCCCTGCCCAAACCTCCTGGCAAGTGTGATGCTGGCTCTGTTTTATTTTGTTTCCTCTGAGTCCCTTAACAACTTCCGCAATGCTATGTAAGTTCCATTGTCTGTATAGCATCCTGGGCCCTTGTGACCTGGGGTTTGGGGTAGCTGGTTAAGCAGAAACATCCCTCCCATTCCCCTGGAATCCATCCTTCTGTGTTTTGAGGAAGAGACTTTCTCCTTACCTCCTCAGGGACTGTCTACAAACTCTTGAGCTGTGGAAAAGAAGCCAACCCACTTGTCTGGTTTGGCAGATAGTCCAGAGTATTTGTGATCTTCGAGTTCGACTCCACGCTTTCCTGGAATCACTAAGGCAAGTAATAGCCTGGTTCAGTAAAAGGAAGCGCGGATCAATGTTCCACTGTCATTGGCGCAAGTAACTGAGACCAGATGAGTCCAGGAAGGGAATAGCGAGTGTCTCCGGAGAGCTTATTCCAGGACCAGAGGGGCTTTGGTGGATATTGTCTAGCAGGTGAAGGAAGACATTTGTACATGCCAAGTACCTGCTATGTGCCAGGCACCTACCACCTACCAAAGGCCGGAGTTAGAGCATGATAAGACAGGTACCTCATGGAGTTGACAATGTATATTGTCAAGGATGATTTATATTAATCATCCCATTGAATCCTTGTGAACTCTGCAAAGTATGTATTTTTCTTATTTAGAGACCAAAAAAAATGTAGAATTCAAAGCGGGAAATGGAAAGCCGGATATGAACCTATGTGTGTCTGATTCTAAAACTCTGTTCTTCTCATTATTATCCCATCCACCTCCAGTCACTCCTCTTGTTGAGGAGGGGGGGTCTATATACGGAGTGACCTTGACCCCTCTGCTAAACATCTGAACCAGTGACTTCTGTTAACTAGGGCGTCACTTGGGCCATACTGGTCTGCATTTTCTTTGTCCTGCATCTCATAGTAACTGCTCTGCCCACTTGCCCTTCTGCGTGAACCAGTCTAGCTGGACCCAACTTCTGGAACATTCCTGCCCCATACCTTCCAGGGTTACTTCTACAGGAGGAACTCAATCTACTGGGTCTATTTGGACTATTATCCAGGTCTTCAAGGTTGCCTGGAGACCCTTCCAGATATCCCTAGATATTTGTCTGTCCGGTTGCTGTTGGCATCTCCTCCTGACAGTCTCTTTCCTCAACCCTTTTTAAACCTGTTTCATTATCTCCACTGTCATTGTCATTGACAGAAAATCTATCCTGTCAGTTGACAAAACCGGCATTGGTGCTCCACATCCTTCCTGGCAACTACCCAGTTTATCTCCTACTCATCTTCTCCATCCGCCATGCCAAGGAAGAGGAGTGCTTCTGCCCAAGGCTGACCGCCCTGCTGTGCTCCAGATGCCCTCGAGGCTCCCCTGGAACTTTCCTCCACCCGTGGCCCTTTCTCATCCACATTTTATCCTCGTCTCTATCAGCATGTCTCATCCTATCTAAACATGTTTAATCTCTCCAGTCTGAAAATACCCTGCCCTTATCCTTTACTTTAACTTCCCTCTTCAGTTTCCCTCCTTCACTTTCTTCTCAATCAAGCTACTTGAAAGGATCGTCCACACTGGCTGTCTGCACTGCCTTCCTGCCCATTCAGTCCTTTGCCACCCCTGCAGTCTGGTTTCTGTTCCCCTGACCAGGGGAAGTAACTACGATGGCCACACTGCAGGTCCGGTGAGGCTGTCTTCTTTGATCTGCCCTCTCCTTTCCAGCCCTTTGGCGCTGCTGCACACACCCCTCCCCTGAGGTGGTCTCTGGTGTGGTACGCTAGGTTTCCAGTCCCCCTACGTTGCTGGATGACTTTTTTCCATCTCCTTCCCAGAGCCCGCCTGCTCCACTCACTCTCCACACGTCTCCTGGGTCTCTGTGTCCTACCACCTGTTCTTGTTGCCCTCTGTCCCCTCCCTTGGTGTCCTCAGCCACGCAGTGGTGAATGGGATAATAAGGAGAAGGGTTAGGGTTTTAGAATCAGACAGACATGGATTCAACTCTGGCCTGACTGGATTCCATGCAGATCTCACCCTGACATCGGGTGTCGAGTGCCCAGCCTCATGGTCCTCTCTTGCGCTGTCTCAAAGGCTCCTTCTACCTGCCATTCTAGAGCCAGACTTCTCTCCCGTCTCTTCCAAGGCGTGACCTTCTTCCTGTAACCTTTACTTTCAGGAAAGTCACAGTTAGCCAAATGCTCAGGCCAGAAAGAAGAAGGTGGGTAGTTCCGTGGGTCGCTCCCTCTCATCTGCCTGTGACAGTTTATCGGCCCTCCATCGTGCACCTCTCCTCTTGAATCCCCTTCCTCTCACTCCCCTCCCACAGGGCAAAGCCTTGCTGACTGCTTACACAGAGGTGACAGAGGTCCCCGAGGGACCTCTCCTCTGCTTTCGTCCTCCACCCTGATGCTGATAGCATCGTCCTTCCAGTGCTCTCTGCTCATGGCACCCTCCTCTCTGCAGTGCTCCCAGGGCTATCAGGCAAAGTTCATACGCCTTCAGTTTGATCACATGATCCTCCCCATCCATTCCCGTCTATCTTCCCAGCCCCCTTTCCCTCTTTACTCCAGATGTGCCAACAACTTGGGATAATGCGGGTTCAGGCTTTCGCCAGCACTGGCTTCTTCAATGCCCATTTCCAGTCGTCTGTCAAAACTCAGCTCATGCAGCACCTCCCAGCGAGTAACTGCTGTACCGTCGTCAGGGTTTCACCTGCCTATTTCTCCCTTCACGTCGGTGCTTAGCACATTGCCCGACATGCAGAGGGTGCTCTGTAAACGGTGAAGGGACAGCTGTGCTTTTCGAAGATTTGAACTCTCACAGAGCCTGATGCTTTAACTTAAGGTCCATTGTGATAATTCTTTAAGATGTATGTGATTTTGTTTTTAATTGCCAGAGGGCACATGTGCCAGAGAGAGAGAGAGAAAGAGCAAAGCACCTTGAATGGGGTGTGATCCTGCCACAATCCTTTCCTCATTTCTCCCTCCTGCTGGGATTTGGGGCATGTATGCATGTGTTGTTCAAGCCTCTGGAGCCAAGATTCAAACTGCGATCAGCCATGTGAGATCTGGCTCCCCTAACCACCAAGCTACAGGGCTGGCCCTGATCTTATCGATACTTTGTGTCTGTATGTACATATGAGTATAGTTATATATTTGCTAGATGGAATGTGTTCTCTCCTGAGAAAGAAGGTACCCCCCCAAAAAGGGGCATAGTCACATCATGAACCTTTTTCTTCCATTTCTCCTTTCTGTCAGAATTTAGGGCATGCACATGCACCTGGCATTTTTCAAGACACGGGGGGTGTTGTGGGAGAAGTTAGGATTCAAAGTCAGCCATGTGGAATCTGGCTCTCATGCCCAGGGCTTAACTGCCAACTCAGTGGGGCCTGTCTAGGACATATCTGATTTTTTAAAAAATAATAATTATTTATTTAATTGTATTTCTTTTCTTTTCTTTCTTTCTTTTTCTTTTTTTTTTTCAATTTGACATGAGAGAGAGTGAGGAAACAAGCCACTAGGTCCAGGACTCGAACTGTGGTCAGCCATGTGGTAGTGTCCAGCACCTTAACCAGCAAGCCACCTGCTGGTCCCCGACATATCTGATTTTTAAACAAAATGCCATTTGTCCTTAACAATTAGACTTTTACAATAGAAGCTGTACCCCCAGCAAACTCGAGGATAAACAGATGTTTCATACTTAGTTGCTCCCAAGGAGATCGGCAAAAGGAAGCACCACCATCCCTCCCTGCTCTGCTCCCTCCTCTGTCTGGGGTGTCCTCATTTGCTGCGTTATTACATTTGGCCTGAGAGTTGAGCAGGACTTAAGGCTGCAGGTAAGAAAGGGGGTCCTCTGTGGGGGTAGCTGCTTGCTAATCTGTGGAAGATTAGACTTTCTGAGAGCAGTGTGATTTTGTCAACCACAAGTACACTGAGGCTGGAAGATGGTGTCTGGAAAACCCTGGTGCAGGGTCAAGGAAGCATTTGTGTTCTAGAAGGGCTGGCGGTAGCCCACTCTGATTCTGTGGCTGAACAGAGGCGCACCTTCATGTTTTACAGACGCCTTCGTTGTTTGTTACGATGAGATGCCTCACCTGCTGTACTTGAAATTTTCTTGCTACTGAATCTGCTCTCTGGAATGGCTGAGATTCTGTCTCATACCGACTTGAGAAAAAAGAATTTATTCACTGGAAACTCCAGTGGTAGATCTGTATTTAGGGATGGTTGTTTACAGGCTCAGAAGTGATACCATTAAGACCTGTTTCTCCCTTTCAGCTCTGGCTCTAACAAATTCTCTGTGGGCTTCCTTCTCAGGCCAGCTCTCTGTGGAGGGGCAGAAACAACCTCTGACAGCCTGTGCTCACGTTGTCCTTGCATCAAGCAATTTCAGAGGCAAGAAAGGTTACTTTTCTAACAGCCGTATACATTGAAGCCGTATACATATACTGATGCATGGTTTGGGTCACGTGACCATCCCCAACCCAAACATCATGCTCCTGGGCATGGATAGTTTATTCTAAGTTTATTTATATTTTCATTGGTTGCCAATGTCATGGATATTGACCGACAGCCCTGCCACGGAGGGAAGGGACAATCTTAACATTTTCTGGATGGGTGGTCATTTCTTAGGGCTGCCACAAATGACCACAAACTTGGTGGCTAAAAACAACAGAAATGTATCATCTCACAGTTCTGGAGGGCAGGAGTCCTAAATGAAGGTGTCCACAACACCACGTTCCCTCTGGAGGCGCTAGGGAATCATCCTTCCTTGGCCCCAGGCAATCCCTGACAAGGAGGTGCATCGAGCCACTCTCTGACTGCATCTTCACGCCGAGGTTCTTTCTGTTTTCTCCTGTTTTGTCTGTGTCTTCTCTTCTTATAAGGGCACTCTTCTTATAAGGACACTCTTCTTATAAGGTCCTTGGATTTGGGCCCACTCAGCTAATCCATGATGATCTTATCTCAAGATCCTTTTCATTATGTTGACAAAGATCTTTTTTCTAAATTAGATCACATTTATAGGTAGGGGATAGGGTATTAAACTTGGGAGGCTGCACCTAACCCACTCTAGGGAAGAAGGAAGGAGATAGCCACTCTCCTCCACCCCTTTCTGCTCAGCACCCAGTCATGGCCTTTTCCTTAGAAACAAATTTCTGAAATGCACCACCCCACCGTGCCGTAGGCTGACCACATAGGAGCAGAGCAGGTCCGGATGTTGCTCTTAGTAATCTGTCAGCCAGTAGCTAAATGATAACTCTAAACACTCCCAGCATTTAATGGGGGGTGGGTGGGTAAAAATAAGGTACTTAGAGTGAAAGCTGTTTGTGTTTAGAAATGGGGAAAAGGGGAAACAGCACGCTACTGTCATCATCCAATTCTCTACTGAAGAGGTCTGACAAGGAGCCACTTGGGATCTTCTGAAGACTGCAGGTTCTTCCACCAGCAGGGCAACCTGAAAACTGCTCTCCGGGAGATTCTCCCAGGTCCACTGCCCTCCACGGGTGGCATCAGAGACAATGTGCCTTTTGGATACTGGATATAGTCTAGTAGGTCACTGTTTGCAGCAGAAGTACTGAGGTCTGGGCCTGGCTTCAGGGGCTGAGGGGTCTCGTGCTGTGGTCTCTAGACTGGAGCGTTTCTGGCAGTGTGCTGCCCGAGCGGAGTGCTGCGGAAGGGGCTTTTTAGAAGTTTCTGTTCTGTTTCCCACTGTTGCCCTCCTCCCAGCCCTTTGCTTTTGCAGTCCTGAAATACAATGTTTTGGTCCTCGGTTATTAGCCACAGGCAGAAAGAGGAGCTCATAGCTTTGTTTTCTCCTCTCCTCATTTCAGAAAGGTCAACTGGGACTGAAGTGTCTTTTCCTTCAAGAGCTTACTGAAAGCAAGCCTTCAGGTCTGGAATGGAACTGTTCTTTCTCTCTCTTTGGTGAGTGCATGCACCATATAGCAAATTTTTAAATAATAATTATAACAATAAATAAAATTAAATAAATGATTTTTTAAAATTTCATTAAGTATACATTTTTCTAAAGCGCTTACTGAAGGCTAAAGAGGTAGCCAACACACCCTAGTAACCCAGCTTTTACCATTATTTTTTTTCTTTTTTTGAAGAGGTTTTTGCTATAGGGCATGTGCGCTCGCCAGACAGACAGAGACAGAGAGACGGAAAGCGAGAAATCACCCCCCAGGGGGGATAGCCACACTGCAGTCCCTTCTCCTCCATTCTCCTCTCAGGATCTTGGGCATGCACGCACATGCGCCAGGCTTGAATTTAAGCCATTGGGTCCAGGACTCGAACCGCAGTCAGCTACATGGAAGTTCAGCGACATAGCCATTACGCTAACTGCTTGTCCCTATATTTTCTTCTTTTTAAAAATCTTGCCAGAAGGTGCAAATACTCATCACAGAGAAACAAAGAGAGAAGGGGGAGAAATCAGCCCTCCCTCCATGGGCTGTGGGCACGCCACAACCCCTTCTCTTCTGTTTCTCCATTCTGTCGGGATTTTGGTCATGCATGCACATGTGCCTAGCATGTTTCTCAAGCCCCTGGGGCTGGGATTGGCACACTGTGGTAGGCCGTGTGGGATTTCCTAATCATTAGGCCCCAGGGCCAGTCCTATTTTCTTTTAATTTTTTTTATGATGATATTGTATTTAATTTTTTGCATTTCCTTCATGAGAGAGAGACAGACAGGTGGAAGCACACTCAATGTGGTCTCACACTGTGGTCCCCGTTGACCTTCCCAGCCAGCCCGTGTTCCAGGCACAAGCGCAGGCACCACCCGGCATGCCCAGTTTGACCTGGCAAGCCGACCTCAATCTTCCATCTGGTTTCCAGCATCACAAAATGACACACTACTGCTGCACCACCATAGCTGGGCCTGTGCTTAATCTTCAATATGTTTCTAAAGTATCAGGACCAGCAGTTAGCATAATGGCTATGTCGCTGGACTCCCACATAGTCGACTGCGGTTTGAGTCCTGGACCTGGTGGCTTAAACTCATGCCAGGCGCGTGTGCGTGTGTGCCCAAGATCCCGAGAGGAGAATGGAGGAGAAGGGACTGCGGCGAGGCCATCCCCCCTGGGGGGTGATTTCTCGCTTTCTATCTCTGTCTCTCTCTGTCTGTCTGGCGAGCGCACGCACCCTATAGCAAAACCCTCTCCAAAAATAAATAAATAAAGTATCATTTTTTTTCTAGATGAGTGCAGTATAAAAACATTTTGCTTCTTCCTGTGAGAGCATTAAATTATATATTGATGTGTAATTGGCCATTATTTCATTCTAAAAGCAAGGTACAATACAACCTAGAAGCACTTCCTTTAGGAGGAAAAAGCCTGGAGGAAAAAAATGGACCCTTAAACTTTTTTTGTATAAAGGACTACATTGAGGATCTGAGAACTCTGGATCCTTCTTCCAGAAAATGCCTCCATCTGTATCATTTAGCTCCTGGTTTCTGGGAAAGGCTATCCACGGTTAAGAACATAACCCCACAAGACAAGCAGATGGTGGAATGGTTACATTGCTGGACTCACACATAGTTGACCGTGGTTCGAGTCCCAGACCCAGCGGCTTAAAACTTACTCAAACTCCAGATAGAATTACTTCTTCACACTGAGTCATGAATCACTGTGGGGCCGTGTGAAATCTATCACGTACACACATAAGCCATACGTTCAGCCTGAAGTATAGTAAAGCAAACTTCTGCATCCCTTCCACCCAAGTTAGGAAGTGGATCAGAGTCAGATTCTTAGAAGCTTCTGCGTACTTCTCTCTGCCTGATAATATGATGAATTACAGAAACCACTTTTCCACTATTGAGCCAATCTTTGAGTCTTCAAATAATTCCAGTTTAGTTATGATATATTAACTTCTTGCTGAACATTGCTGAATACAATTTGCTAATACTCTGTTTAGGATTTTTATATCTGTATTCATTCATGTGTTAGGTTGGCTTGTCACTTTCGTCCTCCTTGTCATCCTCTTCCTTCCTCTTCTTAACCCTTTAAGGATGTGAAAACCATTCTTCGCTCACAGGTGATATAAAGACGTCTGCCAGCCTTTGGTGTAGTCTGTGCCCCCGTAACTCAGTGGAGTGCTGTTGTTTTCTACAATACAGTGATGCTTATGTGATTTCCTAAAGTAAATAATCTACGAAAATCGAGAGCCTGGTGAAATCCATGCTGACACACCTCTAGACCCACCAGATCCGGTATCTTTGGAGATCAGTGCCAACCCAGACCACACCCAGAGGACACCTAGGCACCGGGATTAGAATAGCTGCCGTTCGACACTGGCTCTCTCTTGCTGCCCTCTCCTGGCTAGCCCAGTGTTGATGATCAGATGTGAATCCTGGTCTACAAGTGACTCCAAAAATCTGCAGGCCTGGTTGCTGGTCTGCAGACTTGTCAGAATCTGTGCCAGCTGATAATCCTAACAGGGTTCTTTTTATTTATTTATTTATTTATTGTGAGTTTTCTTTTTGCTATAGGGTGTGTGCTTCCCAGAAAGATAGAGACATAGAAAGTGAGAAATTACCCCCCAGGGGGATGGCCATGCCGCAATCCCTTCTCCTCCATTCTCCTCTCAGGATCCTGGGCATGCACACACACGCGCCCATTGTGAGTTTAAGCCACCGGGTCCGGGATGTGAACCACGGTCGACTACATGGGAGTTCAACAACATAGCCATTGCACTAACTGCTGGTCCCGGGTTCTTTTTTTTTTTTTTTTTTTTTTTTTAGAGAGAGACAATTTTACCATAGGGTGTGTGCACTTACCAGAGAGACAGAGAAAACAAGAAATCACCCCCTGGGGAATGGCTGCACCACAATCCCTTCTCCATTCTCCTCTTGGGATCTTAGGCACGCATGCTCATGTGCCTGGCATGAGTTTTAAGTCACTGGGCCCGGGACTTGTTATGCCATATTCTTGCCCCCTTAATAGGGTTCTTAACGCTGGTCATGGTGGCATATTCTTTTAAAAAATTTTTTTTTATTTAATTAATTTCATTTGTTATATTTTTAATTTGACCAGAGAAAGACAGAGAGAGAGAGAGAGAAAGGGAAAGCAAGAAAGCAAGCCACCAGGTCCGGGATTCGAACCGTGGTTGGCCATGTGGGAATCCAGTAGTCCCAACCACCACGCCACCTGCCGGCCCTGGCCTATTATTTTTTATAGAGTCCTAAGACTGCTTGAGTGTAGACAGTGCATAAAAAGAAGAGTTAGCATGCAGTAAACATTCACCATGCACTAAGCATGCTAAACATGGATGATTTTATTTCATCCTTGGGACACTACACTACATGAACCCCATGTTCCTCGAGTGCTTGGCAGTCCCATTGCACAGGTTATAACAGTGAGACCCAGAGAAGTGAGATAACCTGCTCAAGCCCCACCAGTAGTAGATAGTGGAGACAGCACTTGAAATGCAGTCCCTGTTCACCTGATTCTGAGGTCTGTGTTCTTAACTGCTATCCAGGTTCTCATCATTTGTGCAGCCTCCGGTTCAGTAGGAAGGATAGGGGACCTGGAATCTGCATTTTTGGCCAACCTTCCGGGATTCTGCTGCAAGAGTCCTGAAGGGCCACATTGTGCGAACGCCGCCTCTCCAGGAGGGGAAATTGAACTCTTGTGGGAGGCCGAAGCTGTTCAACCATGGAAACCTCCTTCTGAGTAGAACAAAGTACGGGGCCTACCCTCCTTCTCTGAGCACAGAGGAAGCTAGAAGGCAGTGTCTTATCTCTCCCCATGCCTCAGGCCTATAAGCCCCACAACATAAGCCCCAGAAAAGCACAGCGCTACAATTTCCCTGGGGCAGCATGGCGGCTGGTGCAGTGGTAATGAAATGGGACCCCCCGGGAGTGGTCCTGGAGTCACATCCTGGGTCCTCCCTAAACATGCTGGGCTCACGTGGATGTGCCCATGATCCAGGCCACCTGACACTGGGTGAGGATCACTATGTGGGGACCCTGGTGGGGGTGCATGTATGCCTGTATCTCTCTGTTCCTCATGCTCATGAAAAAATACTTAAAAAAAAGAAAGTAGAACTTGGGCCAGCAGGTGGCATGGAGATGAAGGTGCTGGCTCCCACATGGCCGGCTATATGGTTTGAGTCCCAGACTTAGAGGCTTGAGAGTCATGCCAGGCACATGTGTGTGCATGCTCAAAATCTCCAGAGGAGACTGGAGGAGAAGGGATTGCAGCGTGGCCATCCCCCCTGAGGGGTGATTTCTCGCTTTCTGTCTCTCTGTCTCTCTCTGGCTAGTGCATGTGTTCTATCGCAAAATCTAAAAACAAACAAATAAACAAAACAAAGAAGAAAAATTTGCCCAGAGAGATATTATATTTCCCTCTGCTGACAGAAACTCTTGAGAAAATATATACTAGTTATTTAATAACTCTCAGTCTAGTGGAAGTTTTGGCTGTTCTGAGGAATAATTTCACATCTTAATCGAAAATGCAGTGAACCACTCAGCCATCCCCTCTGCTTTCTCGAATAAGCCAGACCAGGTAGCCTGGATGTCGGAGCTGAAAGTGTTCATGGCTTGCTGGGCAGAGACAAAAGGAAAAGGACTTATTTGTCATCTAAATACAACGAGTTTGCAATGAAACCAAGCAGCCCAGCTACAGCCCTTTCTTGGCATGCTCCGGCTTTCCAGCAGCAAAATCTGTGTTTGGCAAGGAATGGGGTGGAAACTTTACCCCATCTAAAGGCCAGTGTTTTCTCGAACTTCTACGCTGTCATGCATCACTTAACAATGGGGACGTGTTCTGAGAAAGGCACTGTTAGGCAATTTTGTCGTAGTGTGAACATCATGGAGTGCACTTATGCAGACCCAGGTGCTATGGCCACAGGGTATGGCCTATGGCTCCGAGGCTTCACACCTGTATGGCAGGTTACTGTGCTGAAGCTATGGGCAACTATAGC